AACAACTTATAGACGTGGCTCAGAAGCGAGATGGGCCGATAATTCTTTAACATTGTCTTGTCACCTTTCTTGTTAAAAAAATCGTGTGGCAGTGGCGTAAGAATCTTGTCACCCCCTCTCCAACCATGGGTTTTGTACGTGGCGACTAAGGGCGATAAGTCAAAAAAAGAACAAGCTTTGGCATCGGACAGATGGCGGAATAACCATCTCAGTTCTCTGGTCTGGCCAAAAATATCCGGATCTGTGACGGGTAGTAGCGTCACAGATCCGGATCCGTCACATAAATGGTTTGTTGATCTTGAAGATTTGAATTACGTATCGTCGTCAATTTGTTTTTAAATTTGGTTTTTCTTAAATACTTGGTCGGCGGTTATTAAGGCTTACTAAATTTCACCATAGGCCTTGTTATACTCCCCCTTTCTGCCTACTCTTTTTGTATTATAGTGTATTTTATATCACTTTTAAAATGTAATAAATGCAAATAAATCATACGCTTTTATTACTGTTACGAACTTGAGGTTCGTGACAATCACCTAAATTAACACTTTAATTTTCATTACACAAATTAAAACTTAAAACACTAATAATTAAGCACACTGATTCACTTTATTCCGCTCCGAAGCTTCGCTTGTCTCGCCGAATTCAATACTTCCCCGATGGCGTATTGCAGCGCCTATAAATACACATTAGTACCGAATCATCCAGAACATTCATTTAAATACGTGCACCAATCGACAAAGCGCCGAAAGTTCAAGAGTCAGCTTCCAGAAGCTTAGTTCTTCGTTTCGACAACAGATGGCGCTGTCGGTTGAAAGATTAGTGATTTCTGAAAAGCTCTCTCCTCGCTCCGTTACCTGACACTAGATGGCGCTAGTGGCAGATGTCAACTTAGCCGCGCAACACTGCCCCCTCCTAAGACATGCTCGTCCCGAGCATTATCGGCCCCATAGTAACGCGCCAGGCGATCCACATGGACGATCTTAGGAGTCCCTCTTACGCCTTTCTGTAACGGCTCCGCAATGTCAAGGGCTGTCCTATCCCATAGTGCACCAACATTCTACAATTTCGGTGCTCCTCTACTACGTGTCTGAGGTCCCCTCACGGCCGCACAACTTGTACATGTACGACACCAAGCCTCGACATCGTCACGATAATGGACCCAGTAAACCTGTTCTCGGACCTTCAGCAGAGTTTGTTTAACTCCCAGATGGACTCTTGAACGACCATTATGGCACAGCTGTAGAACATTCGGCACTTTGGCTTTAGGGACAACCATTTGCAAACGACAGCTGTCTCCTCGACAATTGTCCCATTTACGGCATAGGACTCCATCCTGAATCAGCAAGCTGTCCCATTGGGCCCAATAGCTTTTCGTGGTTGAACTCATCGCTGAGACGTCGCTCCACTTAGGCTTGGTAGCACGGACCTTCGTCCATTCCAGAATCGGCTTGATATCCGGATCTTCCTGCTGTGCATGTCGTAGGCTGTCCTCCCACTCGTTGCTGAGGTGGTCTGTCCTGAGCATCCTCCCGGATACCACTTCCTTACTCTCTTGCCTAGTACAATGTTTCCGATCTTCAGAACAAGGTCTTCTTGACGATGCATCTGCGTTGCCATGAGATTTCCCGCTGCGATGTCTGATAGTAAAGTCGTATCCCGGCTTCTGCTGGGCGGCGATGTTAGCCGCACTTCCCTTCTGAGATCGTTCACCTTCCCTTTCTAGGGTTCGCTTAGGGCAGCTGGATCGAAGATGGCCCCTTTCCCCACAGCCACAGCACCTAGGGCTGTATCCTTTATTGTGGTCGCGAACTGCTGCAACCTCCCTAGCATGAGGGGAATGATGTTGCTGCCACCTCCAGGTGGTGCCGTTAGCTGCACTACTCTCTCGAGATCGATCAACTTCCCTTTCTACAGTTCGCTTAGGGCAGCTGGATCGTAGATGACCCTTTTCCCCATAGCCATAGCACCTAGAGCTGAATCCTTTGTTGCAGTCGCGAACTGTAGCTGCTGCGATCTCCCTGACACGATGGGAACGATGATCCTGCCGCACGGCTTCTACCTCTAGTGCATGGGCCAAGGCGTCCTTAAGCGTCTCGTGGTGCCCGAGCCTCACAGCAGCTTTGACTTCCAGGTCGCGGATGCCGTCAATGAATGTCTGCACCAGGTTCCCTTCAATGAGCGCAGGTACAGACCGGTATGCTTTCCGCACCAGCTTCTCCACCTCTAGAGCCCACTGCTGCAGGTTTTCGTTGATGCGCTCCACGCGATCTTTAAGCTGCGCACGAAAGACGTGTTCCAGGTGAGCGTCGCAATATCTCGCCTCCAATACCTCAAAGAGTTGCTCATCAAGTCACTTCCTCACCGAGAGCTTCCAGAACTGTTAAGGCCTGGTCGCACAGGCCTAATGTGAGAGCAGTCATGGCCTGACTTTTATTCCAGCCTTTCGCCTTCATAACAGCCTCGAACTGGACTTTGTAGGCTGACCAGGAAGAAGTCCCGTCAAACGGTGGCACCTTGAACCCACGTAGCGAAGGTGTAGTAGCTACTACGGGTGCTATAGTTCCATCCCCAAGTTTGAGTTCATCCAGCGTTTTCTTAACTTGGTTGATTTGGGTCTCAGCTTCCGACAGGCGGTTATCATGTTGAGCAACCTTATCCTTCACCTCCCTTATCTCTTTCCCGAAGGTAGCGTGAAGGTCCTTCATAAGGAGCATTTGTTCTTCCTGGCCGCCCCGCAGCTGCTCTTCCAACCGACGGACCTGTTCCTCCTGTCGGCGAGCCTGTTCGTCCTGTCGGTGAGCCTGTTCCTCCTGTCGGCGAGCCTGTTCCTCCTGCTGCTCTTTCAACAGACGGGCCGTTCCTCTCTTCCGCGCTGCAGCTGCTCCTATAGCATCGCCATCAGAGCACCTAAGTCAGGTGCTGCAGATGTAGGAGCTACTGCGGGCCCGCAGCCTCCGTGCCTGGCAGTTGGCTCTCCGACGTCTGCGGCGTTGCACCACCAAATCTCCTCTGGTTCGTCTCATGCTGGCGTTGACTGCGGGTACGGACACCCTCCGTTTCCTCCTTAAGTAAAATCGGCATGATTTTATCCCACTTCTGACTCCAATTGTTACGAGCTTGAGGTTCGTGACAGTAAAAATTGCCGATAGAATTACCTAAATTAACACTTTGATATTCTTTACACTAATTAAAACTTAAAACACTAATAATTAAGCACACTGATTCACTTTATTCCGCTCCGAAGCTTCGCTTGTCTCGCTGAATTCAATACTTCCCCGATCGCGTATTGCAGCGCCTATAAATACACATTAGTACCGAATCATCCAGAACATTCAAGTAAATACGCGCACCAATCGACAAAGCGCCGAAAGTTCGAGAGTCAGCTTCCAGAAGCTTAGTTCTTCGTTTCGACAACAGATGGCGCTGTTGGTTGAAAGATTAGTGATGTCATTTTCTGGAAAGCTCTCCCCTCGCTCCGTTACCCGACACTAGATGGCGCTAGTGCCAGATGTCAACTTAGCCGCACAACGTTACTATGACTAAACTAATGTAGTCAAAAAACGACTTGGGTTAAATTATGTGTAAATTATTGGTCCTGCACCTAAACTCTCTCGGATCGTGTCGTGATTTGATGATTGTGAGGGAATAGAGAGTGAATCTGTGCTTGCGCATACATGTAGATAGACTAGTCGCCGTAGTGACTGGCTGCTATGACAAAATTGGATTGAGTGGACACTCAACCTATCAATCAAATCAACCTAACACTCATCTCAACTCGAGACACAACCGACGCACTGATGATAATCACGATGAGTGCGTTTGTTTGTCACTATTCAATATTATACTGATGACTTTAAGCGTTGTTAGGCGAGAAAATTTATATTTATTTTAGAACTTTAAATCTATTGCTGCATTCATGTAATTATTGATTACAAATATTAAATATATTACGCATAGTATGACTATCTGAGTTCGTTAAATCAGTAAGCCTTTTTACCTTAATAAAATAAGGATTACTAAAACGGCTTTTAGAAATGTTTAATTTTTTTATGGCAATTGTGACATTTTTTGTTCTTTCTTTATGAAAATGTACTAAGCCAATGGTTTTTATTAAAATCTGTTGACTGAATAGGATATTACTCGCCTATTTTTTCGAATTTTCCTTAGCTAGGCCTTAACACCAGTAGGCCCGCGGGTTTTATATCGGCTGTAATTTTGACACCGGATTCCAATTATTTTAGATGAAATATTCTCGTGATCAGTATAAAGGGTATATTTAGTTCTCAGTATTGTAGGACTAAATAAAGGACTGCAATTTTATAAAACTGTGTAATATACTGAATGACCTTTTTTTACCGTCTGGAAAAAATAAGATGTAACATGTGAACGGAGTAGATGCCTATGGCACTGATATTTTACAAAAAATAAAAACAAAAATTTTGTATTACCTATTTCTGCTACAAAGCAGCGGTACGTACACTACTGGGTTCCGGTCTGTAGAGTATAAAGAGCCAGTGGACAGTGAGGCACTCCGCCTTGGTCCCCAAAAAATACAACGCATCTATATTAGCAGCATAATTCTGCTAGGCATAGTATGGGGAGTTATGAGAACTGGTATCGTTTTTAACAGGTAAATTGGAATTTCATTTTACTACTCAGGAGATTAGTAAGGTACATGAGGGTAATATGGTCATCTTAAGCTTTGCCGCCCTACAAATCCAAAACTAGGAAGAAGACATAAACACTCACGCCTATAATAATAATAATAATAATAATAATAATAAATTGGCGTAGGGAAGTGACGACCCCATCGCCCGCTGACGTAATGGTTATGTGACAAAACCACTACGTCAGCGCAGTCAGTCAGCACCTTGCCAAGAGGTGTTAGTGCCGTGCCTCGGCAAAAATTAAAGGCGCAAAGGCCCGCTTGTGCACATGGCCCCACCATAAAACGGCGCCGGGTCTGGGCGTCTCCCGTTAAATGACGCCCACTTTTATGGATGATGGAATATGCAAAAACGCGCAAAGGGCCGCTGCCTGGAGGTCGCCAGGGCGCGTCTGGTGCTGGCGCTGGACGCGACAGCTTGCGAACCGCCAGCCGAGCGAGAGGTGCTGCACGACCACCCATCAGCCCCTCGCATCCATCATCCCCAACAGCTGGCTTGGTGTCAGCAGGGTCTTCGCAGGACCAGCAATCGGCACCCGCCACTGGTGGAGTACGCCGCATGCGATGGACAATCGAAATGAATACTAACGCATTGCGGGCGTATTTTAGGGCGAAAGGGGGAGAAGTTGGAGGTTTGACGTATCGGGCTAGGATGCATCGTCTTTTTGCTGAGCTGGAGCCATCTTTAACCGTCTCAGAGCAAAACCTGGCAGAGCGCGTTCGGTATATCTTGCGCTCAAATATATTTGATGTCGCCGAACTCGAACGACTACGACGTGAGGCTGTTCCCTCATCGGATGAAAATGCTACGGCTGAGGATGCGGCGCCACAAATTGCAGAGCAACCCGCAAACGTGAATGCCGCCGTGAATACCCCAGTTGTGGTTGATTCAAACGATGATGGAACAGTCGCCCAGGAACTGGAATTAGAGCATATGAGGAGTACATTGGAAGAGGCGATTGTGGAAACGCGCAGTACGCCTCTCGAAAATCGACCGCGACTTCCCCGCATAGCCCTAAGCAAGCGGAATCGGGCTGTCGTGAGGGCTCTGAACCCATTGCTGATGACCTATTTGGAAGCCTGCCGGGACCTTTGCGAGACGGACTCAATTCTTTTTGGCGCCGCACTGGCAGTGTGCCGTATTATAGGCGCCAAACTTTCCACGGCTGGACGCGCTACTGGACAAAGTAGCGCTATCCCAGCCTGGAGAATAAGAATTGAAGAACGTATCGCAAAGGCTAGGGCCCTCATCGGCAGACTGATATGCTTCAGGTCAGGCAACAACAGGCCAAGGATTGTGCGCACCGTCAGGATGGCATTTGCTGGGACAAATGTTAGTTTGTCCCAGCCGGATATAATGCAAAAACTGACGGAGCACATAGACGACCTGAAGCAGAGAATCGCTACTTGGGGAAAGCGGATTTGGCGATATATCGAGAGGTCGACACGGTTTAACCAGAATCGTCTCTTCCAGAGTGATCAGAAGAGGCTCTATAAATTGTTGGAGCGACCAATGGTAAATGGAACGGGCCCAGCACCGAATCAGGCCGACACTGTAGCATTCTGACGCGGCCTGTGGTCAGAGCCCATAAACCACAACGAGGGCCCTTGGACGGAAGTTGTGGCGAGTTAGTGTGCGAGTATAACGCCCATGAACCCCGTCATTATAACGCCGGATGACGTAGCTGAGGCGGTCCGTGGGGCCCCGAACTGGAAAAGTCCGGGACTCGACGGGCTGCATCACTACTGGCTGAAGGGATTTGTGGTGTGTCACACTGTGCTCGCCCGACAGTTCCAAGAGGCTCTCAACCAGAAGTCGCTCCCGAGCCTCTTCACTACTGGGATCACTCATTTGGTTCCTAAAGACCAGGTTACCACAGACCCGAGCAAATACCGCCCCATCACGTGTCTGCCGACCATATACAAGACACTAACATCCATTTTGAGCGCGAGAATCACTCGTCACCTGGAATCAAATCAGGTGATGTCGCGCGCTCAAAATGGATGTCGGGGCGGCGGTCGTGGAACCAAGGAACCACTCCTCATTGACGCGGTTATTGGCAAAGTGGTGAAACGCAACCGTCGGAACTTCTCCGCCGCCTGGATAGACTACAGAAAGGCATTTGACTCGGTGCCCCATACATGGCTAAAGAGGATCCTCGAGCTGTACAAGATTGACTGTGCAGTTCGAGACTTCCTCGAGCGGTGTATGGGGCAGTGGAGTACGATCCTCTGTCATCTAGGCGAGCGGATGACGGCTGAGGAAAGCCGCATAAGGATAAGAAGGGGTATATTCCAGGGCGACTGTCTGAGTCCAATCTGGTTCTGCCTCTCTTTGAACACTCTCAGTACTTTACTGGAGGGTTCCGGGAGGGGATTTCAGCTTCGGAAAGGAGGTACAAAAGTGACCCACCTCTTCTATATGGATGACCTCAAATTATTCGCCTCCAGTCGCTCCCATCTTATGGAATTGCTAAACATCACTTGTGAATTTAGCAATTCTATTGGAATGGAGCTGGGGACGGATAAGTGTGCGGTCCTCCATGTTGAGAGGGGTAGGGTTGCTAACTCTGAGGGCATAGACTTATCTATGCCCGTCAACTTAAGGACCCTTTCCGAGGCTGAAACATACCGATACCTGGGTATGTCACAGAACATCGGTATCGATGAGGCTGGTATGAAACAGTCAGTTTGCGACACGTTTTATGCACGCTTGACCAAAGTGCTTAACAGCCTTTTGTCCAGTGTGAATAAGGCACACGCATATAACGGCTGGGTCATGCCTGTCCTCATGCATACCTTTGGCATACTCAGGTGGACTCAGACCGAAATTAACGCCCTGGATAGAAAAGTCCGCACTACCATGACGTCCCATAGGATGCATCATCCGAGATCGTCGGTAATGAGGCTGTACTTGCCGCGAAAGCATGGTGGGCGTGGCTTCCTGAACGCGCTCACCATGCATAATCGCGAAGTGTGCAGCTTCCGTAATTACTTCCTGGTGAGATCGGATGATCCATTCTATAATGACGTCATTTCTAGTGATAAAGAACTTACCCCTCTATCCTTAGCCAACGAGCAATGGCAGGACCCGGCAGTACTAAGCATTTCCGACCGGGAGACCGTAAGGAAGGAGAAGGAGCTCCACGGGAGGTACTACAGGGTTCTACATGAGCCCTTCGTAGATACAGTCGCCGCCCTCAACTGGCTACGTTTCGGTGACCTTTTCGGGGAAACCGAGGGTTTTGTCAGTGCAATACAGGATCAGGTTATTAAGACCAACAACTATTGGAGATGCATCCTAAAGGATGGCACCGTCGACGTCTGTCGAGCTTGTCCCCATCCCGGTGAGTCACTTAGGCATGTCATCTCCGGTTGTTCGGCGCTTTCTAACTCTGAGTACTTGCACAGGCACAACCTAGTAGCCAGAATTCTACACCAGGAGCTCGCTCTGAAATACGGTCTCGTGGGCCGGAAAGTGCCGTATTACAAGTACTTGCCGGAAGCCGTGCTCGAAAATGACCGCGCCAGGCTCTATTGGGACCGGGCCATCATCACAGACAGGACTATTCTTACGAATAAGCCTGATATTGTGCTGATGGACCGGGCACAGTCAAAGATATTTTTGGTCGACATTACCATTCCGTATAACGAGAACCTCGTGAAAGCCGAAACAGATAAACGAACAAAATATCTGGACCTGGCTCAAGAGGTGACCGATATGTGGGGTGGTCTGCCGGCCGAAATTATTCCTGTAGTCGTCTCTGCGAATGGGCTAATCCCAGTCAGCCTCTCGGGTCATCTGAGGTGACTGGGACTCCGTGACGGAACGCTCCGGGCTCAAATGCAAAAGGTGGTGCTCCGCGATACTGCCCGCATCGTCCGCCGGTTTCTTTCCCTTTCCCCCTAACCCTCGGCCGTTTGGTCTCCCCTGCCGAGGGCTTCCATCTGGTTGGGCTTTTATTTATTTATGTATTTTTGTATTTATTTTATTTTATTAATATTTATGTATATTTATCTTTTCATTTTCATTTATAATTATATATTTATAGATCCCAACCAGATGAGAAAACCATATAGATACCCCATAATAATAATAAAGGCGTAGGGAATTGACGACCCCATCGCCCGCTGACGTAACAGTTAAGTGACAAAACTGCTACGTCAACGCAGTCAGTCAGCACCTTGCGAGAGGTGTGAGCGCCGTGCCTCGGCAGAATTTAGGGTGCAGAGGCCCGTTTGTGCTTATGGCTACACACGAAACGGTGCCGGGCCTGGGCGTCTCCCGTTAATGGACGCCCAAATAATAGATGATGGATAAGAAGATAGTGCGCAAAGGGCCGCTGCCTGGGGGTAGCCGGGGCGCGTCTGGAGCTGGCGCTGGACGCGGCAGCATGCGGGTCGCCAGCCGAGCGCGAGGAGCTGCACGGTCACCTAGCAGCCCTCCGCATCCATCATCCCCACCAGATGGCTTGGTGTCGGCTGGGTCTTCTCGGACTCAGCAAGCGGCACCCGCCGCTGGTGGAGCACGTCGCATGCGTTGGTCACAAGCAATGAATGCAAACGCATTGCGGGCGTACTTTAGGGCAAAAGGGGAAGAAACTGGACGTTTGGCGTATCGGGCTAGGATGCATCGTCTTTTTGCTGAGCTGGAGCCATCTTTAACCGTCACAGAGCAAAACCTGGCAGACCGCGTTCGGTATAACTTGCGCTCAAATATATTTGATGTCGCCGAACTCGAACGGCTACGACGTGAGGCTGTTCCCTCGTCGGATGAGAATGCTACGGCTGAGGATGCGGCGCCACAAATGGTAGAGCAACCCGCAAACGTGGATGCCGCCGTGAATACCCCAGTTGTGGTTGATTCAAACGATGATGGAACAGTCGCCCAGGAACTGGAATTAGAGCATATGAGGAGTACATTGGAAGAGGCGATTGTGGAAATGCGCAGTACGCCTCCCGAAAATCGACCGCGACTTCCACGCATAGCCCTAAGCAAGCGGAATCGGGCTGTCGTGAGGGCTTTGAACCCAATGCTGGTGACCTATTTGGAAGCCAGCCGGGACCTTTGCGAGACGGACTCAATTCTTTTTGGCGCCGCGCTGGCAACCTGCCGTATCATAGGCGCCAAGGTTTCCACGGCTGGACGCGCTACTGGCCATAGTAGCGCTATCCCAGCATGGAGAAGAAGAATTGAGGAACGTATCGCAAAGGCTAGAGCTCTCATCGGCAGACTGATATGCTTCAGATCAGGCAACAACAGGCCAAGAATTGTGCGCACCGTCAGGATGGCGTTTGCTGGGACAAATGTCAGTTTGTCCCAGCCGGATATAACGCAAAAACTGACGGAGCGCATAGATGATCTGAAGCAGAGAATCGCTGCTTGGGGAAAGCGGATTCGGCGATATACCGAGAGGTCGACACGGTTCAACCAGAATCGTCTCTTCCAGAGTGATCAGAAGAGGCTCTATGAATCATTGGAGCGACCAATGGTAAGTGGAACGGGTCCAGCATCGAATCAGGCCGACACTGTAGCATTCTGGCACGGCCTGTGGTCAGAGCCCGTAAACCACAGCGAGGGCCCTTGGACGGAAGTTGTGGCGAGTCAGTGTGCGGGTATTACGCCCATGGACCCCGTCATCATAACGCCGGATGACGTAGCTGAGGCGGTCCGTGGGGCCCCGAACTGGAAAAGTCCGGGGCTTGACGGGCTGCATCACTACTGGCTGAAAGGTTTCATGGTGTGTCACTCTGTGCTCGCCCGACAGTTTCAAGAGGCTCTCAACCAGAAGTCGCTCCCAAGCCTCTTCACTACTGGGATCACTCATTTGGTTCCTTAAGCCAGGGTACCACAGACCCGAGCAAATACCGCCCCATCACGTGTCTGCCGACCATATACAAGACACTAACATCCATTTTGAGCGCGAGAATCACTTGTCACCTGGACTCAAATCAGGTGATGTCGCGCGCTCAAAATGGATGTAGGGGCGGTGGTCGTGGAACCAATGAACCACTCCTCATTGACGCGGTCATTGGCAAAGTGATGAAACGCAACCGTCGGAACTTCTCCGCCGCCTAGGGAGACTACAGAAAGGCATTCGACTCGGTGCCCCATACATGGCTAAAGAGAGTCCTCGAGCTGTACAAGATAGACTGTACAGTTAGAGACTTCGTCGAGCAGTGTATGGGGCAGTGTAGTACTATGCTTTGTCATCTGGGCGAGCGGATGATGGCTGCGGAGAACCACATAAGGATAAGAAGGGGTATCTTCCAGGGCGATTGTCTGAGTCCAATCTGGTTCTGCCTCTCTCTGAACCATCTCAGTACCTTGCTGGAGGGCTCCGGGAGGGGATTTCAGCAACGGAAAGGAGGGACAAAAGTGACCCACCTTTTCTATATGGATGACCTCAAGTTATTCGCCTCCAGTCGCTCCCATCTTATGGAATTGCTAAACATCACTTGTGAATTTAGCAATTCCACTGGAATGGAGCTTGGGACGGATAAGTGTGCGGTCCTCCATGTTGAAAGGGGAAGGGTTGCTAACTCTGAGGGCGTAGACTTATCTATGCTCGTCAACTTAAGGACCCTTTCCGAGGCTGAAACATACCGATACCTGGGTATGTCACAAAACATCGGTATCGATGAGACTGGTATGAAACAGTTAGTTGCGACGTGTTTTATGCACGCTTGACCAAAGTGCTTAACAGCCTTTTGTCCGGTGTGAATAAGGATCACGCATATAACGGCTGGGTCATGCCTGTCCTCATGTATACCTTTGGCATACTCAGGTGGACTCAGACTGAACTTAACGCCCTGCATAGAAAAGTCCGCACTACCATGACGTCCCATAGGATGCGTCATCCGAGATCGTCAGTAATGAGGCTGTACTTGCCGCGGAAGCATGGTGGTCGTGGCTTCTTGAGCGCGCTCACCATGCATAATCGCGAAGTGTGCAGCCTCCGTGATTACTTCCTGGCGAGATCGGATGATCCATTCTATAAGGACGTCATTTATTGTGATAAAGGACTTACCCCTCTATCCTTAGCCAACGAGCAATGGCAAGACCCGGCAGTGCAGAGCATTTCCGACCGGGAGACCGTATGGAAGGAGAAGGAGATCCACGGGAGGTTCTACAAGGCTCTACATGAGCCTTTCGTAGACACAGTAGCCTCCCTCCACTGGCTACGCTTTGGTGATCTCTTCGGGGGAAACCGAGGGTTTTGTCTGTGCAATACAGGATCAGGTTATTAAGACCAACAACTATCGGAGATACATCCTGAAGGATGGCACCGTCGACATCTGTCGAGCTTGTCGCCACCCTGGTGAGTCACTTAGGCATGTTATCTCCGGTTGTTCGGCGCTTTCTAACTCTGAGTACTTGCACAGGCACAACCTAGTAGCCAGAATTCTACACCAGGAGCTCGCTCTGAAATACGGTCTCGTGGATCGGAAATTGCCGTATTACAAGTACTTGCCGGAAGCCGTGCTCGAAAATGATCGCGCCAGGCTCTATTGGGACCGGGCCATCATCACAGACAGGACTATTCTTGCGAATAAGCCTGATATTGTGCTGATGGACCGGGCACAGTCAAGGATATTTTTGGTCGACATTACCATTCCGTATGACGAAAACCTCGTGAAAGCCGAAACAGACAAGCAAACAAAATATCTGGACCTGACTCACGAGGTGACCTACATGTGGGGTGGTCTGCCGACCGAAATTATTCCTGTAGTCGTCTCTGCAAACGGGCTAATCCCAGTCAGCCTCTCGGGTCATCTGAGGCGGCTGGGACTACGTGGCGGACCGCTCCAGGTTCAAATGCAGAAGGCGGTGCTCCTCGATACCGCCCGCATCGTCCGCCGGTTTCTTTCCCTTTCCCCCTAACCCTCGGCCGTTTGGTCTCTCCTGCCGAGGGCCTCCATCTGTTTGGGCTTTTATTTATTTATGTATTTTTATATTTATTTTATGTTATTGATATTTATGTATATTTATCTTTTCATTTTCATTTATAATTATATATTTATAGAACCCAACCAGGTGAGAAAACTATATAGATACTCCAAATAATAATAAGGATGGCACCGTGGACATCTGTCGAGCTTGTCGCCATCCCGGTGAGTCACTTAGGCATGTCATCTCCTGTTGTTCGGCGCTTTCTAACTCTGAGTACTTGCACAGGCACAACCTAGTAGCCAGAATTCTTCACCAGGAGCTCACTCTGAAATACGGTCTCGTGGATCGGAAATTGCCATATTACAAGTACTTGCCGGAAGCCGTGCTCGAAAATGATCGCGCCAGGCTCTATTGGGACCGGGCCATCATCACAGACAGGACTATTCTTGCGAATAAGCCTGATATTGTGCTGATGGACCGGGCACAGTCAAGGATATTTTTGGTCGACATTACCATTCCGTATGACAAGAACCTCGTGAAAGCCGAAACAGACAAGCAAACAAAATGTCTGGACCTGGCTCACGAGGTGACCGACATGTGGGGTGGTCTGCCGACCGAAATTATTCCTGTAGTCGTCTCTGCAAACGGGCTAATCCCAGTCAGCCTCTCGGGTCATCTGAGGCGACTGGGACTACGTGGCGGACCACTCCGGGCTCAAATACAGAAGGCGGTGCTCCTCGATACCGCCCGCATCGTCCGCCGGTTTCTTTCCCTTTCCCCCCTAACCCTCGGCCGTTTGGTCTCCCCTGCCGAGGGCCTCCATCTGGTTGGGATTTTATTTATTTATGTATTTTTATATTTATTTTATGCTATTGATATTTATGTATATTTATCTTTTCATTTTCATTTATAATTATATATTTATAGAACCCAACCAGATGAGAAAACTATATAGATACCCCAAAATAATAATAATAATAATTTCGCTAAAATCGCCTCTTCTAATGTACTCCTCATATGCTCTAATTCCAGTTCCTGGGCGACTGTTCCATCATCGTTTGAATCAACCACAACTGGGGTATTCACGGCGGCATTCACGTTTGCGGGTTGCTCTGCAATTTGTGGCGCCGCATCCTCAGCCGTAGCATTTTCATCCGATGAGGGAACAGCCTCACGTCGTAGTCGTTCGAGTTCGGCGACATCAAATATATTTGAGCGCAAGATATACCGAACCCGGTCTGCCAGGTTCTGCTCTGAGACGGTTAAGGATGGCTCCAGCTCAGCAAAAAGACGATGCATCCTAGCCCGATACGCCAAACCTCCAACTTCTCCCCCTTTCGCCCTAAAATACGCCCGCAATGCGTTAGTATTCATTTCGATTGTCCATCGCATGCGGCGTACTCCACCAGTGGCGGGTGCCGATTGCTGGGCCCGCGAAGACCCTGCCGACACCAAGCCAGCTGTTAGGGATGATGGATGCGAGGGGCTGATGGGTGGTCGTGCAGCACCTCTCGCTCGGCTGGCGGTTCGCATGCTGTCGCGTCCAGCGCCAGCTCCAGACGCGCACTGGCGACCTCCATTTTTGCATATTCCATCATCCACAAAAGTTCAACAGAATCGTCTCTTCCAGAGTGATCAGAAGAGGCTCTATAAATCGTTGGAGCGACCAATGGTAAGTGGAACGGGCCCAGCACCGAATCAGGCCGACACTGTAGCATTCTGGCGCGGCCTGTGGTCAGAGCCCATAAACCACAGCGAGGGCCCTTGGACGGAAGTTGTGGCGAGTCAGTGTGCGAGTATAACGCCCATGGACCCCGTCATTATAACGCCGGATGACGTAGCTGAGGCGGTCCGTAGGGCCCCGAACTGGAAAAGTCCGGGACTCGACGGGCTGCATCACTACTGGCTGAAGGGATTTGTGGTGTGTCACACTGTGCTCGCCCGACAGTTCCAAGAGGCTCCCAACCAGAAGTCGCTCCCGAGCCTCTTCACTGCTGGGATCACTCATTTGGTTCCTAAGACCAGGTTACCACAGACCCGAGCAAATACCGCCCCATCACGTGTCTGCCGACCATATACAAGACACTAACATCCATTTTGAGCGCGAGAATCACTCGTCACCTGGAATCAAATCAGGTGATGTCGCGCGCTCAAAATGGATATCGGGGCGGCGGTCGTGGAACCAAGGAACCACTCCTCATTGACGCGGTTATTGGCAAAGTGGTGAAACGCAACCGTCGGAACTTCTCCACCGCCTGGATAGACTACAAAAAGGCATTTGACTCGGTGCCCCATACATGGCTAAAGAGGGTCCTCGAGCTGTACAGGATTAACTGTACAGTTCGAGACTTCCTCGAGCAGTGTATGGGGTAGTGGAGTACGATCCTCTGTCATCTAGGCGAGCGGATGACGGCTGCGGAAAGCCGCATAAGGATAAGAAGGGGTATATTCCAGGGCGATTATCTGAGTCCAATCTGGTTCTGCCTCTCTTTGAACCCTCTCAGTACTTTACTGGAGGGTTCCGGGAGGGGATTTCAGCTTCGGAAAGGAGGTACAAAAGTGACCCACCTTTTCTATATGGATGACCTCAAATTATTCGCCTCCAGTCGCTCCCATCTTATGGAATTGCTGAACATCACTTGTGAATTTAGCAATTCTATTGGAATGGAGCTGGGTACGGATAAGTGTGCGGTCCTCCATGTTGAGAGGGGTAGGGTTGCTAACTCAGAGGGCATAGACTTATCTATGCCCGTCGACTTAAGGACCCTATCCGAGGCTGAAACATACCGATACCTGGGTATGTCACAGAACATCGGTATCGATGAGGCTGGTATGAAACAGTCAGTTTGTGACACGTTTTATGCACGCTTGACCAAAGTGCTTAACAGCCTTTTGTCCAGTGTGAATAAGGCACACGCATATAACGGCTGGGTCATGCCTGTCCTCATGTATACCTTTGGCATACTCAGGTGGACTCAGACCGAACTTAACGCCCTGGATAGAAAAGTCCGCACTACCATGACGTCCCATAGGATGCATCATCCGAGATCATCGGTAATGAGGCTGTACTTGCCGCGAAAGCATGGTGGGCGTGGCTTCCTGAGCGCGCTCACCATACATTATCGCGAAGTGTGCAGCCTCCGTAATTACTTCCTGGTGAGATCGGTATGATCCATTCTATAATGACGTCATTTCTAGTGATAAAGGACTTACCCCTCTATCCTTAGCCAACGAGCAATGGCAAGACCCGGCAGTACAAAGCATTTCCGACCGGGAGACCGTATGGAAGGAGAAGGAGCTCCACGGGAGATACTACAGGGTTCTACATGAGCCCTTCGTAGATACAGTCGCCTCCCTCAACTGGCTACGTTTCGGTGACCTTTTGGGGAAACCGAGGGTTTTGTCTGTGCAATACAGGATCAGGTTATTAAGACCAACAACTATCGGAGATACATCCTAAAGGATGGCACCATCGACGTCTGTCGAGCTTGTCGCCATCCCGGTGAGTCACTTAGGCATGTCATCTCCGGTTGTTCGGCGCTTTCTAACTCTGAGTATTTGCATAGGCACAACCTAGTAGCCAGAATTCTACACCAGGAGCTCGCTCTGAAATACGGTCTCGTGGATCGGAAATTGCCGTATTACAAGTACTTACCGGAAGCCGTGTTCGAAAATGACCGCGCTTGGCTCTTCTGGAACCGGGCCATCATCACAGACAGGACTATTCTTGCGAATAAGCCTGATATTGTGCTGATGGACCGGGCACAGTCAAAGATATTTTTGGTCGACATTACCATTCCGTATGACGAGAACCTCGTGAAAGCCGAAACAGATAAACGAACAAAATATCTGGACCTGGCTCAAGAGGTGACCGATATGTGGGGTGGTCTGCCGGCCGAAATTATTCCTGTAGTCGTCTCTGCGAATGGGCTAATCCCAGTCAGCCTCTCGGGTCATCTGAGGCGACTGGGACTCCGCGACGGACCGCTCCAGGCTCAAATGCAAAAGGCGGTGCTCCTCGATACCGCCCGCATCGTCCGCCGGTTTCTTTCCCTTTCCTCCTAACCTTCGGCCGTTTGGTCTCCCCCTGCCGAGGGCTCCCATCTGGTTGGGCTTTTATTTATTTATGTACTTTTGTAGTTATTTTACTTTATTGATATTTATGTATATTTATCGTTTTATTTTAATTTATAATTATATATTTATATAACCCAACCAGATGAGAAAACTATATAGATACCCCAAATAATAATAAAACCATTTAATATCACCCAGAGGGGTAGGCAGAGACTACAGACTTCCATTTGGCACGATCCTGAGACACCTCTCTCGCCTCCTTCACATCCATACACCTACGCATACATGCTCGTCGGTTAAGGGTACTCCTAATTTGGCCCGTTTTCAATAAATCGCCAATTTGGTCGATAAATTTTCGCCTAGGACGTCTCTGCCTTTCCGACTCTGCCATTCACTTCTGCAACATAAATTTTCCTTGTCACTCTTTCCTCAATCATTCTTTCTACATGACCAAACCACCGAAGCATTCCTTTCTTAATCCTGGTCACAACATCACCCTGTCCTCCTCCTATATAAAAAATAGGAGGAGGACAGGGACAAAAATACAATACCGTATACTACAACTAATATATTTCGAAAAAAAAATTACAAACTAGCTTTGGCAAAATAATTAGGAACACTTCGAAAAATCAACTTTAAAAAACTAACTACACTACACAATACTAAAATCGAATAAAATATTTACTACAATGTCAATTGTCAAAATAGCGTCGATGAAGCAGCGTCCATTTTGACCCTTTAATATTTGATTAACTGATGAAAAGCTATCTTATCACAGAAGCATCTATGCAAACAAGGCTGTAGTTTTTTAGTTATAAGAAAGTGATCATATTAACCATATTACCCTCACGTACTATATCAAAAAGCTATTTTCGCTATAGCATTTTGGTACTTAATCGAGGATAGATGTAGATGTCCATGGCTCATAGCGTCCATTTACCATCAGGTGGACTGTGCAGTCGTTTGTCTATGTGTGGGTAATACTTTACTACTTTTGTAAAAAATGCTACTGATTTTCTGTTTTTTTTTTGTGTATAGTATTCAGTTCCTATGATTGCCATATTTATTTCTTCTAATAACTTACATTATTTCAGGTCACGGGAAATTCAACAAATTCGTGTTGCTAACATGCGGGATGATCATGTTAAATGTGTCCATGGAGTCGGTGGGCATGAGCTATGTCATCACGGCTGCCGAGTGCGAGCTCGGCCTCACCAGCGAGGACAAGGGATTGATCACAGCTGCTGCTTTTATTGGTATATACCTCCAGTATTTCATTTAATTACTCTAAGCCATCCACAGTGTTCCTATCAACAGCTTTAAGCCAGCATTCTTCTGGATATACGCCTTTTCAAGAATGTTGGCAAGCTGGCAAGATCAACTCAAAAGATTTTTCTGTCTAAGCAAGCTAGTCCGGCAACCCTTACACTGGTGCTGTTGCTTTCTATGACGTATAAACAGTTCAAATCTACATCAAACCATTATTCAATTGCTAAAACTGGTGCAGCAATCCGCTAGCGGTCAGTTCCCGCCAAAACAGTGACTAAAGAATATAGGAATAAACTAGGATGTCATGATTTAGATGGACTGTAGGCAAAGGTTGGCGTATGTGGACTATGAGAAAGCCTTTGATTCCGTCGAAATTTGGGCGGTGCTGCAGTCCCTTCAGCGGTGCCAAGTTGACTGTCGGTATATCGAAGTGCTGAAGTGTTTGTACAGTAGGGCTACGATGGCTATCCGAGTACAGAACCAGAGCTCGAAACCTATCCAACTGCAGAGAGGTGTAAGACAGGGTGACGTTATATCCCCGAAACTCTTCACCGCTGCTTTGGAAGACGTTTTCAAGCTACTGGACTGGAAAGGATACGGTATTAACATCAATGGCGAGTACATCACTCACCTTCGATTTGCCGACGATATAGTCCTTATGGCAGAATCGCTGGAGGACCTTAGCACTATGCTCAATGACCTCAATGGTGTCTCCCAACGGATAGGTCTTAAGATGAACATGGACAAAACAAAGATTATGTTCAATGTCCATGTCACACCTATGCCGGTAGTTGTGGGGAGCACTATGCTCGAAGTTGTTGACGAGTACGTTTACCTGGGACAAATAGTCCGACTAGGTAAGTCCAACTTCGACCGAGAGGTCAATCGACGGATTCAACTCGGCTGGGCAGCGTTCGGGAAATTACGACACATCTTCTCGTCAGGTATACCTCAATCTCTGAAAACTAAAGTGTACAACCAGTGCGTGTTGCCAGTGATGACTTACGGATCAGAGACGTGGTCCTTCACTGCTGGCCGTATGAGGACGCTCAAGGTCGCTCAGCGAGCTATGGAGAGGGCTATGCTCGGAGTTTCTCTGCGTGATAGACTCAGAAATGAGGATATCCGCAGTAGAACCAGAGTGACCGACATAGCCCAACGGATTAGTAAGCTGAAGTGGCAATGGGCCGGCCATATAGCTCGAAGAACCGATAACCGATGGGGAAGAAAGGTTCTCGAGTGGCAGCCTCGTACCGGTAGGCGTAGTGTAGGGCGACCCCCCACTAGATGGAGTGACGACCTGGTAAGATATGCAGGAAGTCGATGGATGCAGGTGGCTCAGGACCGTGCTTTGTGGCATTACTTGGGGGAGGCCTATGTTCAGCAGTGGACTTGTGAAGGGGTGTAATGATGAATGATGATGATAGGCAAAGGTATTGGACCATACAGCATTAACGCAAAAGACAATTTTTTACTGTCTGCACATCTGTTAATTTTGTATATAGTAAATTGTAATGAATTATGCACATAGTTACGAATGTGCATAATTCATTACAATTTACTATCGTGATTTTGTTTAATATTTTACTTTAATTTTTTAAATACTTTTAAATGCATTGTAATATAAGGTTATTAGCATTTTTATATTTTTTTTATAGGATAGGGTGACAAACGAGCACACTGTCCTACTGATGGTAAGTGGTTGCTGCGGCCTATAGACATCTACATCTATCTTCAATTATGAATCAAAATGCAGATGCGTTTTCACCCGTGAGAACTAAGATGGAATTCCTCGTTTCCAGTAAAAAGGGTCTTCGGTTCTCTACACTCACCATACGAAACACAGCAGCATTTAGCTACTATTTTATGCTGGTATTCTATGAGAGCGTGGTCCTTCCCCGGTCGAGCCAACCCATTCGTGCTACAACTATACTACTAATATAACTGCAGCATTATAGGACATGTTTGTCATAATACCACGTATTATAAGACTAGGGTGCCAAACGTGGTCGACACATTCCACCTGCTAGTTGCTAGTTGCTCAGGCCCATTCACATCCATCATGAATTAAGTAGTTAATTATCCTTTACCAAGAGAGCGTGGTCATTTTCCGGTCGAGCCAATATATTCGTGCTTCAACAATAATCTTGCTGCTACATGTCTCTACCACGTAAAAACATGCTACATAAATATTTTGCACTTTGACAAATATCTAGACTTAAAGTATTTATTGGTAATTTATACAAATACTTGTTCAGTGCGGGATTTGAACTCGCGGTCTACTACTATGCTACCGAACGGTCATATTGTTTCTGTTATGTTGACTTACTGAGATAGAGAGAGAGAGAGAGAGAGATGTACAAGTTAAGATAACACTCAGGCGACTATACATATACGAGTATTATGCTAAATTATTATTTTAAACACTCAGTTTAAGAAAAGGTATAAATGCATGATAAGAACTTCTCTTTGATCGGCCTGTAAAATACTATGAAATCATGTAGCGGCGATGTAAGTGTGTTGAAATTATAAAAAAAGAGAGAAAAATAAAAAAGACTTGGCTATCTAGGCAATCTATGGGGGGGGGGGGGGACCAGTGTTCAGCGGTGAATTTTTATAGGCTGTAATAGATGGACGGATTTATTACTGTGACTTCTGATAACCTATTCATGGTGATCAGAATCCCGGAAGGTAACACCATCCCACATACGTAGACCTGTTCTTATGTTATGTAATTTATGTCATTCATAAAGTACGTTACACAAATAAATTTGATACAAACTATGTGATAAAAAGTTTAAAAATAACATGTGTACTGTGTTCTTGTTTACACTTTTTTTAATCTACGTTACTTTTGGAACGTATTATGTGTTGTTATATAGAAGTAAAGGCAATAAACGAGCACACAGTCCACCTGATGATACTTGGCCTTGAGTGGATACCATGGCCTATATATGGACATGGACATTTACATCTATCCTCGATTATGAAACATTGAGGACAAAGATTCAAAGTCTCGTCACAGTAAAAATGGTCTCTGGTTCTCCTTACTCACGTGCGCTATAAAGCAGCGGATTAATTCTGCTGTGTTTCAGTTGGTGGGTGTAAAGAACCGGAGACCCTTTTTACTGGAAACCAAGCTTTCCATCGTTATGGTTTTAGGAGTGACAACGTTGCTACGTTTTGATTCTTAATCTAGGATAGATGTAAGTACCTATTGGCCACGGCATCTACTTACCGTCTGATGGACTATGTGTTCGTTTGTCACCCTTATTTTTTTTAAATACGGAACAGAAGTGTTAAATTGTCTTACAGGATTTTGTCCTTCCCTAGTCAAATCAAACCGTTCATATTTCTGTAAGTATACAGCTGCAGCGTAGTTCTACCATGTAGTGCTTACATTAACTAAATGTCGGAGAAATTATTGCAAAAGTCAGTCTGTCTAAATAATATGTGCGTGCGTGTGTGTGTGTGTGTGCAGTAAATAACAGTTTTCCACTACAGTTTCGAAGCCACTACCATGTTTCAAACCAAATCGCAAACGTTTTGGCGCATGCTATGCCTATACGGTTACATCAATAGTGTGAAACGATGTAGTGGGTAGATACCCTTAAGTTAAATGAAACTAAAGTATATTATTTATATAGCAACACTTTTTTTGCATAAGTAGCGTGAGTGAGCTAGCACTAACAGTTCTGTCGAATATCTTATTCTCTTTTCATAATGGGTTGATTATTTTATGCAAGTATATCTAGAACATCACATTGATCCTTAAAACGATTCCAACCAATTTCCGACTTCAATATAAATAAAATGAGAACATCATCAATGTATTCAAAGACGATTAAATAAGCATTATTAAGGATAATTCAAAAACTACTGGTCATATCTTGATCAAATTTATATGGGACCACATGAGAAGCACCAGCACGACCAAAATCATCAAAATCGGTTCACTTAGAATAAAGTTCTGAATTAACACACATAAAAATACAGTCGAAATGAGTACCTTCTCCTTTTTGAAGTCGGTTAATGTTAATGAAAGCCAAATTATTCATATAAATATTATCATCATCATTATCATTGCAGCCTATTAAAGTCTGCTACTAAAATATTACAGTAGCCTATTGGCAGGGCGCGGACCGCGGACTCAAAAAGGTCGTGGGTTCGAATCCGCCATTCGACTACTGTCGTGAACCACTCGTAACACAAGCAATTTAAGCTGACCACGAGTGGTTAAGGGGAATATTAGTAATGTATATAGCATTGTTAATATTCTTTTCAAAAAAAAAGCTCCCACCATAGATTACCTGATAGAGTGGATATTTTACATAGCTGCCACGCTTGGCACGCTGTTTAGTAACCGAACTTTTTAAGTTGTAATCAGAAAGATGGTACAGACCTTCACTTGTTTCATTTACTTATTGTGCCACTTATGACACCCAAGAGATGATCTGTTGTAGCTTTTACGAGTACAGCAAAATCCGAGAAAATATACATAATTTGACTTACGCAAAGTTCAAAAACTTTATTACACTAATAGACGCCACACACGGTCAGTTCAGCTGATCATTCCAACAGATCATCTGTTCAGTTCAAACTATCAGCTATATATGCTGTACCTCTGACGGACCTATTAAGCTCAATTTCATTTCAACTCAAAAGGCTGCATCTCTGACGGATCTTTTATTTGGCTCAGTTTCCTTTCAGTTCAGAAAACTGCATCTCTGATCAGATCAAGCTGATCAGTTCAAATTAAAACTGTTGATATTTTTTAAAATAGGGAATTTTCGATGTATCGATCATTATAAATATCTTAATATCGGAGTTTTACATATAAATTTATTTATGGATATATCGAAAATGCGATATTTTAAGAATTTATCAACAGTTTTAGTTTGAACTGATCAGTTGGAAAGATCAGTTTAACTAACCGTGTGTGGCCACCATTAGTTTGTATCTTCTTCTTCCTTGCTTTATCCCTTTATTTGGGGTCAGCTCTCCTCGTTTTTATGCGCCAAGATATTATATCTTGAGTTGTCTGTGTATCAAGCTGTGCTCGTCCCAGATCCTTGGTTACGGTTGTCCACCACGTGGTTAACGGTGGTAAACGTTAAAAATATTATTATAATATTAAGGGATTTATTTATTATAATGACTCCTGGGAAAGTTGATCACTACTAAGCTATTTCTATATATATACATGATTGTAAACTGTTACAGATGTTTTTTATCCGAACCAGTCTTAAATTAGAAAAGTGACTCTCAATAAGTATTATTTATTAAATCTATGTTGAATAAAAAGTTTCTGATGATTTTTCTAATTGGACTAATTGGAGAAGTGTTTTGCATCTGAAAATGATATGCAGTTCGTCTCCTCCAATGGAATGTATTAAAAAGCGTTTGCAATATATTTTAAGAATTTCAAGTCACGTAAAAAGAGATGCATATACGAGTATATAATGAAGAGATGGAGGTAAAATTGTTTTGTTGTATATTTCGATTCAAACCTACTAATATTCATTACATCTAACTGTACGCAAACCAACCACATAGAAAGGATTATCCGTTTAGGAAATGTATATTCACATCCACAACTACAGCTCCCATTAATTACGTACAAACATATTTTTATTGTACACAGACTAATTGCGATAAAATTGTTGTATAATAATTATCAGAAAAATAATTTCCTTATTATTAGCACTTTTTTAACAGTTACAATGAAATAAATCGAAGTTAAAATAGTTTCGGAGTTAAGCCAACACTTTCCAATAGTACATTTCCTACTAAACCGATATCTTACTAAAATCTTATACCAAAAAAAAAGATTTATACATACATAATTAAACTTTAGACCTTTACTATGATAGTTGTGGATAAAAAGTATAGTATCAGGAGGTAAAGCAAATAAATAATAGGAGATTGTCGATCGAACCAGTCCTTTGACGCTGGTCCCTATCAGAGAAACGCTCGACTCCGTCGCGGGTTAGGATATTTCAGACAGTGTGACAAAATTTATTCAATTACCAAGTGTGCGATGTGCGAAGTTGCCATATTTGTATGAAACATAGCCCTTTCAAATATCGTAGCATGCAAAGAGATCGCAATAAGACATAGACCTGCTTAAAAAGCTTCCATCGTCTTTTATAACATGCCTAATTATTTTGCGGCATTTCGATTATTTTTTTAAGGATTTTGTTGAAATTGATTTCTGTAAATTAATTGACAGGTAATTGAGTCTGTCGTTCACGTCTCTGGGCATAGGTTAGTTCGACTTGCTTGCCTAATCAACTTTAAATTATTAATTTCATCTTATCGTATAAATGAATAAAAACCCTACAATTAGACATGGAAGAAAATTGCCGTAGCTGAATCTATGCCAAGAGAGATGCTGGTGTAGGCCGTAGATTTTAGGAAATATTTGCCAAATTGTCGTAGAAGGTTGTAATAGAGACTTGTTGAAGCGATAGCGTATGTCTTGACTTTAACAAATTGCTTTGTAAAATACACTTAGTTTAAAATTTTTGACTTTGACTTTACTCCGTCACCACACGGTATATTAGCGTAAACATAGAGGTCGTTGTAATCATTAAAATAAAATTTAAAAAAAATAACTCATAACTCAGATGTTTACTTAATACTAATTACGTAAAATATATTTGGATTTCTTGTTTGTTCTTTCAGTTCACGGTCTCCGTCTTATCAGTTCACGGTCCAAACGCAACTTATACGTTTTATAAAAACAATTACGAAGGAAATGACGAGATAACTTTATAAATAGTAAGAACCAACTTGCATAATTTTTATGATATAGTTAGTGATAGTGGTGACGATGATGACAAATTCCTATATAACAAACAACAAATTCAACGTTGGGTTCCAGTGCCTTTCAAAATAAGGATTCACCAAGTAGTAATAAAAATAGTTTTTTTTTAATTCAAGGTAGATTATAAATGATACTTTTTAAAAGTAACTATTATGTTGAACTAGGTGGTATCCGGCGCATTGAAATTATTGTGGAAATACCGTTTTAAATTTGGTAGGGTTATATTGTTTAATAATATATTCATTGAAGTTGAATGATATACGACTTTCAAATAAATTTGTCAATACAATACGCGTGCCACCTGGTGTAAGTTAAACGTACTATGCTATAGGCACAGTACATTTAACTTACACCAGGTGGCACCTTTTGCGTAAGTGCAAGCAATAAGTTGACAAAGTCTTACCGCAATATGATTAACGGTATTTTTTTATAGAATAAGGGTGATAAACAATTACACAGTCCATCTGATGGTAAGTGGATGCTGTGGTCCATAGACATCCACATTTATCCTCGATTAAGAACCAAAACGCAGATGCGTTGTCACCCCTGAGGACTAAGTTGGAATGCCTCGTTTCCAATAAAAAAGAGTCTCCGGATCTCTACACTCACCATACGAAACACCGTAAGTACCAGCGTAAAATAGCAGCATTAATCTACTATTTCACGCTGGTATTCTGTGAGGTCCCCGGTCGAGCCAACCCATTCGTGCTACAACTATACTACTAATATAACTGCAGCATGGCTCTACCACGTATGTCTACTACGCATCGAGCATATCTACTACGCATCGAGCATATCTACTACTCGTACGTATCGAACATGTCTATTACGCATCGAGCATATCTACAACGCATCGAGCATCTCTGTTACGCATCGCGTAATATAGCGGTTTTTGTATAGTATGTGTGGGTATAGTAGATGAGGCCTTTTTTTTAAAAAAAGAACAGTTAACAGTCATAATATTATATATAACAGTTATATACTATGTTCAATACACAAATAATGTCCGGTTTACACGGGCTTTTTAGCTAAGTGCTTAGTACTTGTCACTATACTAAGCCTCAATATGACAAGTGAAAAGTAACCGTTTACACGTTGGAGCCAGTAAAAGTTATTAGTGACCAGACATTCTAAATGCAGCGACGCCGCCTGATTTTGCGCAGTGTGTTTAAGCAATATTCAAACATTATTATTTCAAGCATGATCGAAGAGCTTGAAAGACAAATATTAAAAAGAAAACGTTTGTGGACAAGACAGTGGTTACTGCAGAGATAAACGGGTACCATTCTGCTCTTCTATTAAAAGAACTAGCAACCGAAGATCCAGGAGAATATAGAGTAACTATGAGAATGTAAACGGCACAATTTGATATTTTATTTTCACTTCCCGGTACAACTAGTCGCTAACTAACTTGTCAAGCTGTTAACACACGGTCAGCAAGCGGCAAGTGCTTAGTAAATCGTGGTGGGGGTGTCGGCTTGTCGCTTAGTAAATAGGATCGTTTTCTATTCACTTGCACTATTCACAAATACTAATTGTGACTATATTATTTAATAGCACTAATCAGCGTGTTTACACATGAGAACTTAGTATTAGTGACAAGTACTAAGCGCTTAGCTACGAAGCCCATGTAAACCGCCCATTACTTGAAAAAAAAAACAAATAAGAAATAGCTTGGTAGCGATCACTTCATTCCCGGGAGTTCATTTGAAGTGAAAACTTATTTAGAATAGTTGTGATTTGAAATTCGATAAAACAAAAAGCGACACCTAAAAAGAGACATATACATCAATAGGATTAAGCCTGCGAGGGAATGATATAGCACGCAGAATACAGTATTTCCTTTTTTCTTCGTCTCATTATAGTGCGGTGCTTTAAACATGGTTAATGTAACTTTGAACTAAAATAAATAATTAATAAAATTAACAAATTTATTAAATAAATTAAATTAGCCTTATTGAATAAAATTATCATATACCATTCATAACCATCCACGATTTGATAACTTACCGATTTGTATTAAATTAGTTTAGTCGTAATTAATCGTCTTTTTTACGTACCACATTGAGAGTCAAATGACTTTACCTATAGAATGTAGTAGATGGCGCAATTACATAGCAATTTTACTAATTTTACACGCAATTTTCTGAAGGTTTCTACCTTGCGTGAACTGTACACAGGTTTTTTTTTTTAAAAGCATACATATAGCCCCAAAAATGAATTACTGCCTCTTTTGGGGTGAAGCAACTGGTACAACTAGCTTATGTATACTAGCTTCTGGTTAGTATATACAGAGTGAATAACACAAATTTTAACCGACTTCAAAAAGGAGGAGGTACTAAATTCGACTCTCTATTTTTTGTGTGTTACCTAAGAACTTTTTTCTATTTGAACCGATTTTGATGATTCTTTTTTATTTGAAAGCTGGTGGTTTTCGTGTAGTCCTTGATCAAGATCTGACCGGTGGTTCTTTAGTTATCCTTAATAATGCATATTTAATAGATTCGAATACATTGATGATGTTTTCATTTTGTTTACATTAAAGTCGGTTGTACAATATTTTTAATTTTACCACTTGTTTCAAAATTACTCACGATTTTGCGCATGTATTGTGAGATCAAAGTAAATAAATTTAAAAACACAATTATTAGGCCATGCGGTCTTCAGTAGGAAAAAAGCCGCTGCTTCTTCTGGTTACAAGTCTGGTATCAGTTGTATACCGATTTTCACTACAATAATATTAATTTTCCCTTTAGGTATAGTCACTACGTCCTTCCTATGGGGCTACATGGGAGATAGATACGGGCGACGGGCTGTGATGCTGCCGGCAATGATCACTTCCGCTGCGTTTTCCATCGCGTCTTCATTTTCCACTAACGTTTGGATGATTTTGGTCTTGAGGATACTAACTGGATGCTTGTACGTATTCATGAAGTACTAATTTATTAAAATTATAAATATACTAGATGGTCAGGCAGACGTGGTTCTGCCTTCCGACGACTATTTGTCCGATAAAAAAATCTTTAAATTCGCAATAAAAATATTGAGTGTCATAAGATAAAACGATCCTGTCTGTCAAGCTGGGGTAATTAATACAGATTTATAAAATTTTATTATAATCTGTTATCCGGTGAGTGTGAACGAACATCTTTACACCGGATTTTTATATATCTCATATAATTTCATATAATTTATACGTGGTAGAGCCATGCTGCAGTTATATTATTATTATATGTAGTACGACCCATTCTTGCTACTACGTATTATTATTATATGTAGTAGCACGAATGGGTCGGCTCGACCGGGGAAGGACCACGCTCTCATAGAATATCAGCGTAAAATAAAAGCTTAATGCTGCTGTGTTTCGTTTGGTGACAGTAGAGAAACAACGACCCTTTTTAATGGAAATGAGGCATTCCATCTTGGTCCTCATGTGTGACAACGCATCTGCATTTTTATTCGTAATCGAGGATAGATGTAGGGGGCTACATCTATCCTCGATTATGAATAATGGGCTACAGCAACCACTTACCATCAGGTGGACTGTGTGCTCGTTTGTCACCCTATCCTATAAAAAAAATCTGTAGAAAAACTATTTTGTTCACGATTCACGCAAAAACTACCGGACGGATTTCCATGAAAGGTGTGTAGGCTGTAAATGATGGCGTACAACAAATAGACAACTTCTTATCCGCTTACGGTAGAGTAAAAAATAATGATTATGTTTTTCTTTTTTTTTTAATTTCCCGCTAAGAAAATTGAAAATTTTCAAAATTTGAGGAGTTATTGTTTTTATCCCGTTTTTCGAAAATTGAGTTTTCATCAAATGTTGACCACCCGGAGGTCACCCTGACAATTTTTCAGTGGTTTCTGTGTGTCTGTATGTATGTGTGTGTTTGTGGATGTGTGTTCTGGTTTGTTGACGATAGTTGTAGGTTAAAGGAAACTACATCTACCCAAATGTACGTACGTTAATTGAAAGAGACAAGTATACTTAAAACTACTTTACTTATAGGAATCCTTTGAGTATTCCACATGAATCTAACTACGTCACAAACATTTCGTAAGTGTGATATTTGATGCGACCCACTTTTGTCATATTTGTAAGTGCGTAATCAAATCATATTAATTATTTTTGAGCATTTATTTAATATCATCAACGTGTAAACCTCGTATAACTTTTGAACAGCTTTACCGATCGATTTCAAAAACTAATCAGCTTTTAACCTTGAAGGTCAAAATCGCTTAGTGAGATATCGTTAACGATTACTCCAATATTTCATATTCAACGTCATAATTTGGTGAATTTTGGAGCGCTTTGCAGTTGAAATTAGCGGGAAGTTCCAGAGACGGGCCGAATTACGTCTGCCGGTCCAACTAGTTATGAAACAGTAAAATTTTGTAATTGTAAGTAATGAATGATATTAACTGGGGTTTCAATGTGATATTCAGTGTTTATATTGAAAATTTTAGCACATTTTTTCCAAGAAAAATATATTTATTCAATCGAAGTAAGAAAGTATCCTTCTTATGTTGTTAACATTTCTGCTATCTCGACATAGAGTTAATACAAAACTAGAGGAGCAAACCACATTAACGCGCGCGAAAAAAGTGTAACCCATTGAGTTATACAACACTAGAGGAGCAAACCACATTACCGCGCGTCGAAAAAAGTGTAACCACTATCCAAACGCGACGACGTAGCTTCGAAACTAATAACAACTTTAAATAAACATATATCTATCTCACTTACACAAGTTGCGAAAACAATATCGTCGCTATTTTCGTTCGCTAGATTAGATAAAGATAGACACACAAACATGCAATAGCGGGTTGGTGTGGCTTACTATATGAAATTTTACCTAAAATACGCAATAAAAATGAGTTTTTTTTTAAGCTGCAGTTAATTGTTTTTATATTGAAAAAGTATATTTTATTTTAAAATCTTTATTGCGTCCCCTTAGAAAAAAGGATAAAAAGCTTACTAGATGAATAAAAGTGATGAAATAAAATGTATTTTTATTGTACTAATAAATCAAACAATATAAAATAGCTAATAAAATTTAATTAATATAAAATTTATACGAAATTATAATTAATATAAAATTATTAATATAAAACGAGTAGGTAATAAAATATATTCAATAGGTTAATTCATGAATAAACTAAAATAAGAATAATTAATTATTTTGTATGAAAGTTAAAACGTAGTTTTTATTATAATTTCCAAAATATTTAAAATCAGAGGTAATAAATTAACTTACTTCATTAATTATATAGTCTCCCATTAATGTAGAATAATCACAAATGCGGAAAAGTGGCAACATTGAACCTAAATGGCAATATTCGATAATTTTATTTAATTATTTGAGGTTTTTTACGTTTATATGAAAACAAGAACTAAAAATTATGTGTTGAAAGTGATTCTGCTTGATTTATTACGTTTTTGTGACCTTGAATAGCATTCTTTCACTATGCATTTACCAATTTTTTGTCGCGGCTCAACTCTGTCGGCGTCACATTGAACACTGAACTGACGTTAGCTATGTATATGGCTGTGGCCATATGTGCAGTGGTAACGCTTTGGCGCGGTTATTACTGATCTAGTGTAATATATAAATCAATGGTGTAACCACTATCCAACCGCGACGATGTAGCTTTGAAATTACTAAACATTTTAAATAAACATATCATATCTGCCTCACTTACACAAGTTGCGAAAACAATACCGTTGCTAAGATTAGATAAAGATAGACGCACCAATCATGCAATGGTGGGTTGGTGTGATTTACTCCATGAAATTGAACCCAAAATACGCAATAAAAAGGAGTTTTTTTAAGCTGCAGTTAATTGTTTTTATTAAAAAAATATATATTTTCTTATCAGGTGAATAGAAGTTATAGCATAACTGATGAAATAAAACGTATTTTTTATAAGTATTTTTACTGTAGTAATAAATCAAAAAATATACAATAGGTAGTAAAATATAGTTAATATAAAATATAAAATTTATATAAAAATAAAATTATAATCAATATAAAATTACTAATATAAAATAAAAACGATTCCTTGTTATTTACTGGCGAAAAGGGGGGTGAAGTATGGCTTGTAACTGCAGGTCTTGTAATGTCAAACCGACCTGGACAGGTTATCATTGATAACGCGCACACGCTGCTATCACGGACCAATAATGGCGAAGATCGATTGACAAGTCGGAGTTGTTTATAATTGTTGTTTGGGACATCTGTTGTTACAAAAAAAGAACATCACCGATTTGGCATCTTCCCCCTTTTTTAAATATAACCTCTTTAGTCAAATGTTACACATCTATACGATTTAACCTGCGAGAGAATGAGATAGAATATGGATTCTATCTCATTCTATTTATAAGAAAATTAAAAACTTTTTTGTTTGTTTAAACACGCTAATATCTGGAACTACCAGTGCGATTTGATAAATTATATATGATAGTCAGGTGCGTGAGGAATAGTATAGGCTACCTAGCATTAGGCTATACCTCCCAGCCTTAAATATTGATTTTTGTTAAGCAAGTCCGAAGAAATAGCACTTAAGAACTGCTTCATATGCGTGCGCTGGCGTAATGTTTAAAATGATACGTAAATGTAATAACTTACATAAATATAGTACTTTTCCATCTAAAAAAAGTTCTGCCATACTATTTCTTATACATAAGCCACAAAAGGTTAGTTTGTGACACACAAATATTGAAAATTAAAAAGTGATTTATGAGCGTTTTTATTGGACATGGCATAGTAATCCTTACGACTGAAAGTTACTTCATTATTAAGACAATTTTGTGAAGATAAACTTTGCTCCTTATATCTTTTTATTTGGCCGAATAGTTTAAAAGATATTGAAAAATCTCGGCTCGGCGCGCGAACGGCGCTTAACCACCCGATTAGAATTAATAGAAAATATTCTTTTGATTTATGAATACACTAAAATTTAGGCTCTACATGCGTAAAAATTAGGATTGTAATATTTATTTGCTATAAAATTAAAATTTTATCTTATATTTTATGCCGCACTTGTGATTGAAAATTGTCAAATTGAATAAATCGCTTGCCATGAAATATTTTTTTTTATATTTCAGTGGTTTACTTCTACCGCGTGTGAACTGAACATACATGCTTTTTTTTGAGGTCGGCTAAAATAGGAAAACGTTTTAAGTGACTTTGATTAATGGAAAATATGTTGCGGTATGATAGCTCTTGTCACGATAAAGCATCTTTTCAATTCTAGGCTGATTAACGCGTAATTAGGCTGCGGCTGCTGACGGATGGTGGATGGTATAAACATGCCACAAATAAAGTAATGTAGAGGCATACTTTACTAACATCATTATTTTCATCCGATTAAAATATGGGTGACTTCAAGGCAATAGTGAATAGACTTTTGTTAAGCTAAATCTGTAAATTTACACAGCTTTGGCTACATTACTCTTCTCAATCATAATCATCAATAGGAATAAAGTAATCTTGCTCATTAAAGAGGAATTAAACGGTTTAACATCCTTCTACGAAGGGGAGGATATTACTTATGCTGTATAAACGTACTGGCCGAGGAAATACTGCACGCTAAAAAAGTATGTAAAAAGAAAAAAAAACGAATATTTAATCACTAAGCTAAAACTAAGCGTAAAATTTTGCGAAAAAAGAAACAACACCACTATTACTGCCATCACTATGATGGCTGCAAAGCGAAGTTATTGTTACGGGGGATTATTACTGAAGAAGAAAAAGTAAAACTCGACGTCTGTTTTGGACGCGAAATAAAATAAGCAGACACAGAGTAAGTCCTTGCTTCGTCGACATAGGCGCGGGAAAAACGTTCGTGGTTATAAAACCCTATAAAAAGCAGTAAATTCGGTCGTGCTTTCCGACATAAATGTCCTGTGTCAAGCAAGTCTAGACTGCCTTTTTGGAAACAACTGCTGCTGCTATCTTGTGGTCCCGCGATCGTGTGAGATAAAAATCAGATATTGTTTTTCTTGCGTCTTACAGTACGTTTGCAGTGAGAAACATCCAACACGTAATGTGGTTACGTAAACAGTTACTACATATATATACAAACTAATCTTTCAACATGACAATATTTCTACAAATTTATTTTCAAACATTTTGTTTCTGTAGTTATTAAGATATAATATAGTTAAAATATGAAATGTACAATAAACTTTTAAACATATTTTACTACAACATATTCTTTGACTATGCAAACGCTTTTTGATACATTGACAGAAAACAGTGTTTAAAACATGTTTTTTTGCGAAAATCGCGACAGTGCAAACTCACGGTTCGTGATAGCCCGGAGTCAGGTAGTTAACGGAGTTTCACCCCTGTGCCTCATAAATCACGTTAAGCCGTTGGTCCTGCGCCTGATCTCTTCCCGGTCGTAGCGAGTTACTGTCTTAACGGTCTACGTTAGTGAGGAAATAGAGAGTGCATCTGTACTTGTTCACACACTCATGCACAATAATCATGTATTGCGCAAATGGTTAGTCTTCGTTGAGACTGACCGCCGTGACCGAAATTCAGTCTGGAGGACATTATTATACACAAACGTTGGATCTCCACAATAGTTGGATTACGTTGGTCCTCTTTATTTGTCGTGGAACTTAATCGGAGGGAAATCCTAGTAGTGTTCTTGATGTTTACGCAGTATGACGTAGTTCCTTATAAATAAAACAAAATAAATATTTTCTTCTAGGTGGCTAAGCAAACATTTGATAAGACGATAAGTACGAACGCGGAGCAATACGATAAGAAAATCCTGTTTAATTTACGGGGGGTGTAATAGTAGAGTTAAGATTACAACTTATTATACACCAAATACACAATATGTTGTTGTTTTGCAGGGAATATCCTATAGCAGGGGTTGCGAACCTTTATATATCAACGTGCCATTTTTCTGAAGAAATGAGTTATGAGTTCGTTGACGTGCCGTAAAATAATTTTGACTACGTGATTATTGAGAAAATAACAATACTACTATCAACTCTAAACTCTTTCACTACAAAAAAAATAAAGAGTTTTGAGTTGAGACATTTGTTATGCCATTGGTTCGCCATACCTGTCCTATGGTTATCCGTGTAGTGGCGGTGTAAGAATATCACTACCCCATATCCTTCCTTGGGTGTTGTACGAGGTGATAGCATAAAACTGGAACGGGATATGCGTAGCAGTATCTCCCTGATCAAAACTTAAATTGAGTGAAGCCATCCTGCAGCTATATTACAATCGTATCACAAATAAGTCGGCTCCAGTGGGAAAGAAAAACGCCCTCGTATAATATAATCGTGAAGTAGCAGCTTTATGCTGCTGTTTTGTATGTTGAGTGTAGAGGACCGGACATACTTATTACTGGAAACGAGGCGTTCTATGTTATTCTCTAGGGTGACAATGCATCTGCATTATGATTTTTAATCGAGGATAGATGTAGATGTCTATAAGCCACAGCATTCACGTACCATAAGGTGATCTGTGTGCTCGTTTGTCACCCTAATCCACATGAAAACTTTTATTAAATATATTTTTTTTACTTAGACCCTCGATACAAGCTAATTACGAGATTTTCCGAAATTCATTAATGTGTGCAAACGATGTTGTGACCGCAGAGCCGATATATGAAGATATGGGGTCGATAATATATGATCTCTATTACTTGATTCTCATTCAGCATTTCAGTTTGGCTTTACCACCATTTGTTTTTCTTCAGAAACTTCTCTTGAGTCAGTGGCTGGAGCTGGAGTACTTATAGTTCGTTTTTATTTCAGAGTGTCTGCATCAAGCGCGACGGTGTACGCATATTTGGGGGAGATGCACGTGGCCTCCAAACGAGCTTCGGCAATCGCGTGGGGCTCTGCGTTCATCTCATTCTCCTTCATCATTTTACCAGGTGAGCAGCTGGTTTTAATAGCTAATTATGTTAGAAATATCATAATAATTTCTACATACACACTTACATACTTCTTTGTCTTTGGCGCAGTAGCTTAGCAAGGAGTTGCGGCGCTGTGTGCCGTGGGTTTGAATCCCGCACGGAACAAGTATTTGCGAAGCCTTCAAGTAATTTCCGTAAGTTCCGGGTCTGGATGTTCGTCTTTGTGAAATTTATGTGTGTAAACTTCCTCCACGATACAGGAGAAAATACTAGTATGGGGGTATTGTATTTTTTTTAAATGATGAAAAATAGATGAAATTGAATTCATTATATAAATGAAGATTCATCCCTCCGTCCACGATCCTGACACACCTCTCTCGCTTTTTCCTCATTCGTATCTAAGCAAACATGCTCGACGTTTAAGATTATTCTTAATTAGCTCCATCTTCAATTTTACGCCAATTTGGTCGATAAACATCCGTCTAAAGTGTCCCATGTCTATACTTCCACTTACCTCTGCAACATAAATTTGCTTTGTTACCCTTTCCTTATTTATTCTTTCTAAGTATTCAAGCAATCGGAACATTCCCTTATTATTCCTGGTCATAAGATTGTATTGTATTCTACATTTTTCTTTTAACACGCAATTTCTCAACAACTCTCAGACGACTGTTGATATCTTTTAATATTATACACAGTAATGTAATAAATAAATTGTTATAACTATATGCTCTGCAGTATAAAGCATGCATTTTTAAGCAACAAACATTTTACCACTCGTTAAAATGTCAGCTGGATTATTGAATATTGGAACTTTGTTATTATCATAATAAGCTTCGCATTTGACCTCAAAACGATCATCGCTCGCAGTTCAATTTTGCGTATTCATTGTGTAGATACCGTTTAGCTAGGTCAAAAGTGCAGGTCTGTGACTTGGGTTACACAACTATATTGCCCCGGTGACGTTTATGTTGCCTCATTATATCTCTGCAATACTATAAATTGACATCATATAATAGACACAGATATATTTAGTCATTCCTAATTACAGCTGAACATAAATTACTATAACCGTTTTGGAAAGTGTGCAATAGACGCATGCACACGCACGCACGCACACTCGCATGCATGCTCGCACACACACATAGCACAATATGGATAGGTAGACTCACACAGACTCACAAACAGAAACGCACATGAACACGCACACGGTCGCGAACGCTTCCATAAACACATACATACACCTTGAATATCCCAGCAGTTCTTACTATGAAAACCAGCATTTTAGAAGCCAAGAATGTCATGAGACAGTCTTAGTTTTAAAAATTTTGCTTCAAAGGAGGGTTATAGGCCATATTTTTTCAAAGAATGAGGGTGACAAACAAGCACACAGTACACCTGACAGTAGGTGGATCCTGTGGCCCATAGACATCTATATTTGTCCTCGATTAAGAATCTAAACACAGATGCATTGTCACCCCTGAGGACTTAGATGGAATGCCTCGTTTCCAGTAAAAAAGGGTCTCCGGATCTCTACACTCACCATACGAAACACAGTATTAAGCTGCTATTTTACGCTGGTGTTCTGTGTGAGTGTGGTCCTTCCCCGGTCGAGCCGACCCATTCGTGCTACAACCATAATATAGCTGCAGCGTGGCTCTACCACATATACTATAGTTGGAACACTTGGCAGACGTGATGAAAACCGCAGTTTTTCAATTTTTATGAGGAAGATGCTGCTCTCCATCACCTATTTTAGTTTACCTGTGTCATTTCTTAAGACACTTACACTCAAGACAGTCATGGGATGATATAGGGTAGTGCGTATTCTTGCATAGCCATTACACGACAAGAGTTTAGTGTATATCTTACGAGGTAGAGCCACGCTGCAGCTATATTATTATGGTAGAATGAATGGATCGGCTCGACTGGGGTAGGACCACGCTCTCACAGAATATCAGCGTAAAATAGCAATTTAATGCTGCTATGTTCCGTTTGGTGAGTGTGGAACACGGAAGTGGCATTCGATCTTAGTCCTCAGGGGTGATAACACATCGGCATTTTGACTCTTAATCGTTTATAAATGTAGATGTCTATGCGCCACAGCATTCACTTAACACCAGGTGGGCTGTGTGTCCGTTTGCACCCTTATTATAAAAAAAAAACAATTTCATACCTATTTGGATACTATATCCGCCATATTATTTATCCTAATATTTTATTTTATATCAATAATTATATTTGAACTCATAAAATTAAATTAAATGAAGTCTGCCAACACGCATTGGGACAGCGCGGTGGATATTTCATTAACATTCATAAAAAAAACACTAAGAATTGAGTTGAAACAAAAGGATAAAACACTCAGTTATTCGAAAGTTGTTAAATTGAAACAATTAATCCTTTTGTTGTTAAATGATGGAATACTTTATCGCTTTTAAATGTTTGCTAATGATATCGATTTTTTTTTATTTAGTGGACAAACGAGCACGTGGCTCACCTGATGGTGACTACCAACGCCCATGAACAATTGCCACCAACCAACACCAGGAGAATTTCAGGTGCGTTGCCGGCCCTTCAGGAAGTGGTACGAGTAAGCTCTTTTCTTGAAGGTCCCTAACTTGTATCGTAAATAAGAGCTATATACTATATTATACTAAGGCCAACCATCAGCGATACAAAAGGTCATTTACCTTAAAACGACTGTGGAGTTGACAATCTATTATTTATCTCTTGCTATCTTGTGTATTTGCCGTAATGTCTTGTTTTTCCGGCAAAAACATGTCAGGGTCAAGATGGTACAACATTCGGAGTTTAATGTATGAAAGGGAGTTAGCGACGGAGACAGTAACCGTCGGTATGCGTGAATCCTTCGAGGACAGTTGTACCGTCAAAACCAAGACCTCAACACCAAAAGGTCCTTGTTGGAATACTAAGCTAAAAGAACTTAGAGAAGAGACCAGGAAACTACTTAATAGGGCTAAGAAAACTAAAGAGTGGGATATTTATAGTGCAGCCCTAACTGAATATAGTAAAGAAATTGGGAAAGCCAAGAGAGAATCGTGGAGGAAGCTATGCGAGGAAGTTGAGTCTTTGCCTCGCAGTGCAAGACTACAAAAAATGCTATCGAAAGCTAAACCAAATCAGATCGGGATTCTTATAAAGCCTGATGGTAACTTCACTAATAGTGAAACAGAAACATTGGAGTTACTAGCGCCAACCCATTTTCCAGGGTTACGCAAGACTTCAGCCTTAAATTCTTTTAGAGTCCTACGAAGGCCTTATAATGAGAACTGATGTAGGGCTGCAAAGACAATAAGGCCAATGATTTCTTAAATTTACGCGAACACTACACATTGAATAAAACTAAATTTACGGATTATATCGCGTTATAATCCGAGATACATTAACGCGATATAATCCGTAAATTTAGTTTTATTCAATAAGGCCAAACTTGGTGCAGTGGGCTGTTGACTATTTTAAACCATTTAAAACAAGCGAGGAGGATGGAATAATTCCCATCCAACTGCAGAGGGGTATCGATATCGTTCCTCCCTATCTTGTGAAAATCTTCAGAGCAAGATTTGCCTGGGGATATATTCCAGAACGATGGACAGTTGTCAAGATTCTATATATACCTAAGGCTGGTAGAAAGGACTACGCTTTACCAAAGTCCTTTAGACCTATAAGGCTGTCTTCCTCTCTCCTTGAGACATTGGAAAAGTTTTTACGACCAGCATGCTTACCACAGAGGCAAATTTACGGAAACAGCCCTGATCAGTGTCAATGACAGGGTCAAAAAAGCACTGGAGGATAAAGAAATAGCTCTTTGTGCCTTTCTAGATATTGAGGGCGCCTTCGACAGTAGCCCCACATCACTGCTGATTGAGGGCCTGACATCTAATAATATTGACCCCACAACCATCAGATGGGTAAAGGCGATGCTCTCAAACAGAAAGGCAAATATAGCGCTGTTTCAAACTTCGATTAAGATTGCAACTACAAGAGGCTGCCCACAAGGAGGTGTTTTGTCACCCCTTCTTTGCACTCTTGCGGTTGACCAACTATTGTACAAAATGGCAGACCTACGCATTGACACACTAGGTTATGCTGATGACCTTGTGATCATTGCGATGGGCTTTAACAAAGTACTTTATCGTCAGTAATACAAAGAGCCCTAAACACCATATAAAACTGGTGTAGGGTGTGTGATAAAACTGTCATAATACCCTATATCAAAAAGAAACGGTTGGACAAATTAGTCCCATCAAAACTTAATGGTAAAGAAGTACCATTTTCCACTGAAGTACTTGGGCATAGCAATCGACCAAAAACTAACGTGGAACTCTCACTTTAGCAACGTATGCAATAAGGCAAAAAAATTTTAGGTAAGTGCAGTCGTTTAGTCGAGAACAACTGGGGTTTTACGTCCCAGTATGATTCTATGGCTGTACAGCAGCATAGTGAGGCCGATTCTCACCTACGCCTCTATTGTCTGGTGTAACAAAGCCAACCAAAAGACGACTGCGGACAGACTAAATAGCCTACAAAGGACTGCCTGCTTAATGGCAACTGGAGCTATGCGATCATCGCCTGGAGCGGCTCTTAATGCACTTCTATGCCTAACGCCCCTTGATATATATCTAGATAAGGAAGTGAGGACTAGTTTGTATAGGATGAACGCCCAGGGCGGTCTGAGCTTGCTCTCCTACAGATTGAGATCTATGCTCGACTCAATTAAGGAAACACCGGTTTTATGCATGATCTCAGATATCATGCGTCCACTACACACTTTTGATAAAAAGTACATAGTGGAATTACCCTCCAAATAAAACTGGCTGAATGGCCAGGTTATCTGCGTGGTCGGTAGCCTCATATGGTATACCGATGGGTCTAAAATGGACTCGACGTAGGCTTTGGAATTCACGGGGAACGCCCCAAATTCAAACTTAGTATGAATTGAGGTAGATTCACCTCTATCTACCAGGCAGAAATTTTCGCCATAATTCTTCAGTGTG